TATGTATAATGGCAGTGAATCAAAAAGAGCAGTTCCCACAGACCTCTAGCAGGAACTCTGGAGAAGACAAAATCTTTGCAGAGACAAGTTATATTTTGATTCTGGCATGTCAGTGTCTCATTCCATTCCACCAACTATTTAGCAAACTGCTGTCTCTCAAACCAAGTAACATTTTGCCACCCTATAAAAAAATCATCCAAATTGCCGTGACTATAAACTGTTTTTCTTTTTTTTTTTTACTGGAGTATTTTGAGGGCGACAGCTATCAATACCCTTCCTTTTGATGTAGACTATAGTATATATGGAGGTACTGAACTTAAAATCCATGAATGCTCATCTGTTTTGTGAAATACTAGTCTAATTTTGAATTTTCTGCATGATTGTACAGTTTTTGTACAGGATATGTACTGTGACTCTATCAGGTAAACAGGAAGTATTTTTTAGGGAAAATAAATGCAATGCCAAATGAGAACTAGAAAGGCATCAAGAAGGCAAGACATAAACTCTTACTGTGGGGAATCCTGCCTGCCATCATCCTAAAAGAAGATTAATTTGCCACAATGGAGAGAGAATAGGATCGACCCAGATAAAATTATCCTTTGCAGGCTGCCAGAAGCTAATGTAGAGAGCAGGCACCAAAGCACACTGCGGAGAAGGGACAGCACGGTGCCTGTGCATATGCCATTGCAACTCAGGAGTGTTGGAAAAAGCTCTATGGACAACCCCTGTGCCACACAGTTTGGCGCTCCCTGACGTAACTCTGAGTATCAAACCTCAGCCTGCCAGAGAGATGCTCGTGATCCATACCCAGGGTCTACAAACTGCAGGCATCTTGGGGAAAGAGAGATGCAGAGGGGAGGGAGCAGTGCCGGGAGGTGACACACCAGCGCGGGTCAGACAAAGGTACTGCTGCTGGTGGCTTATCCTGCAGACCTGCGATGCCGCAGGAGGCTGACAGGGGAGGAGAGAGCAGGTACAGCGAGGGAGGGTGGGAAGGCAGCGTGGAGCAGAGTCTGGCAGTGCTGCCTCTCCCCACAGCAGTTCCAAGGCTGCTGCACCTCACTCATCACCTGTCACCCCAGTAATTCCTGGGGAAGAGATGGAAAGGTCACAAAGGCAGTGTGAGTGCTCTGGAGTTCAGGGGAAGCAGCTCACGCTGTGGACTCTGCATGTATGGCAGCCAGCAGTGAGACCTGGTGGCTTTAGTACGGCTGTCTGGGGGCTGTTAGCAGCAAAGTAAACAATCACGGTAATTAATGACCAAAATGCTGTTGATAGATGCTAATGCTCCATAGTAAAAATTAACAAGGATCCTGACAACCAACTGTACAAAAAGCCCCTCCAGAACTACAAGTCCTGTGAAAAATTACAATTCCCATTGAGAAGAAACAAAGCCGATTATAAATTTGACTGTAGTTTCCGGCCTTCTTTCTATATTGTACATATCATCAAATACAGTGGATCATCCCCAATCCTCTTTATTTTCTTGCAGTTTACTAGAAAACAGAAACCAGTTGTTCAGCACTGGACTTACTTAGCTGGACAGAAATGTGAAAGTCCAAGTGTTTATTCCATTGTGTCAATAACGAATTGAAGGAATCCGTGACTATATCCCTTGATGAATGTTTTCCATTTCTTATTAGCAAGTGTTAGCTGTGTCAGAATATAACCAAGGAGTGGGAACTATTTCATCCTGCTACTCTTCATGCTTCACTGGTGCTATGACATAATTGGCTGTGATACCATGGCCTACTTATCAAACTACAGGAAAACTGACCTCATAACATGCAGCATAGTGAAAGAAGCCCTTTTACTCCATTTATACAAATAGCAAAAAGACCAAGCAGTTCTTTTGCTTCAGTCTGCTTATGTTTATAAAACACTGGCTATAATTTGTCTACTATTATTTAAGATATAAGATTATTCTGCGTAAAAATTAGCCAAGGAATATTTCTAGGCCATTCGGGAATAATTTCTGTATTTTACAAGGTCAAAATCTCTCTGCAATACAGAATGGGTGCTGAGCTTATGGCTTCTTTTAAGCTCTCTAGAAGTAATTTTCCGAATACAATGACAAATACTAATAATATACAATATAAAAATGGACAACGCAGCTTCAAGATAAGGCCTAATGCTTTCTGATACTGTTCAGAGGTAACAGGTACGTAAACACTACTCGTAAGAGTAGAAGCTGCAGGTCATGTTTGTCTACTCTGATAAACAGGCTAAAAATGCATTTGCTTGCATTTGTGAGAGCCTGTTCCCAATCATACAGATTTCCAGACATAGTAAAATCCCTTTCAAATACTATGATGTAAATATGCCTTTGCCTAAACTCTGATTGTAATTTGACAAAACTTACAGTTTCAGAATGAAGATTTATCAGAAACCAGGAGTTCTGCTGAGGTTTCAAACATTGTTGGCCTCTTACATTTCAATGTTGAGATTATATCAATGCCGTCACCAAGAACTGAGATACACCCACCAAGAACAGCTCCTTAGTCAGACTTGCCTGGGAAGCAGAACAGCCAGTTTCAAGTCCCAGCTTTGAGTAAGTCCACGTGCCCCAGGACTGACTGGTGTACATATCTGCTTTTCCTGCTGCCATTGTGACCAGCTGTTTCACGTTAGTGTTGAGAAACCTTCTCGCCACAAGTTTCACTCAAATCTACACCTGAAAGGTCTCGTCGTGTGCAGCGTGTTTCAAGACTGTCCCTTCCTATGCTGACCAGGACTACAGACATCCACGGGGAATGTGTTGAGTAAGAAACTCTCTTACGGCCATTTCCTTCCCTAAGTGCTTTAAATATTCCATCTATGTACAGACGGTTTCACAGGACTCTTAAAAATTATTTCAAGGGTAGCTTCAGGCAATACTACACAAGATCATTCTTAAAACGTCATTAAAATTATTGCATTTGTACAATTACCATATGAGATTTAGTTTTAGCATGTTTATGCTTCCACATATTGTTGAACGTAAGTACAGAATTCTCAACCATGTCCGTCAGTTGTGAATGAATTTTTAACAAACAAAATTATTTAAAAATCTTGTTATGAGCATAATATTTTTCGTTAGATTGTACTACTAGCTTGATTGCACTAGATATAAAGGTCTGGGGCGTAGTAGTTTGATGTGCGATTCCGGACAATCTTAGGCAAAATGTGCCTTAGTTAGCCATCGAATAGGTAGACCTGCATGCTCGATGGTAAAGAAGTCACTTTGACCAGCATATTTCTTTATTACTTGAATTTTGTTAAAACACTCATCAAATGAGTCCATTTAGACCATCTATAGCAGCAGTCACGTGATGTCATCTGGACACGAATCTATGGCACTCAACTAATTCAATCCTAGTGCCCTAAGTGAGACTTGAAAATCAATAGCCCTAGAACTGCTGACCACAGTGGCCAGGAAAATACCTGCCGGGGTGTTTTTGCAGCCTTCTTGTAGCTTGAACTTCCTGTGTAAGGTTTCAGCCTCACGTCTTTTATTTTTCACTCGCATGAAAAGCCTTCTGAAAGAAGAAAGTTTCACTCAGGTAAGAACAGAGATGTTAACAGGTCTTAAGTATTTTCAGGTGTTAGTCCTAGACTTGGATCCAACCTTATGATTTGAAGCCAAAACTTCAGGCTGAAAAAATAAGAAGCAAAGTATGGCTGCTTGAACTAGACCAGGACAGAGTGAACAGCATTCCTGGCTCAGTTTGGAAGTAGATCTAAAATCTGAAAATGAGACCCAATTCTAACGATTCTGAATATTTGGGGGTTTTGTTTGTTTGGTTTTGGTTTGTTGGTGGTTTGTTTTTTTTTGTTTGTTTTTTTTTTTTTTTTTTTAAACAGATGGAGGTTTTGGGGGTTTGTTTGGGGGAGGGAGTGAAGGTGGGAGGCAAAGGAAGCAGACTTGGAGCACTAACAGTTGTAAAACTGACCTCTTACTGTTCAAAAATTAAGTAAATGTGGTGCTGTGAAACATGCCCACGTCTATAGAAAGATAAAAAGCTACTTTCTGTGCACCGAAACCTCAAGAAAATACATTTTCACGAGTCTGGAGTGGAATGGTTCAAATTATGTTAATGAATTTTCAGTTCCTAAGCTTGATGTGTGAAGTGACAAAATATGCAATCCTGTAAGCAGTGCTGTCCTGCATGTCTTTGATTACTCTCTAATCAATGTTGCTCCCTCATGAAACCACCTCTTCAGAGCAGGAGGGTGTGTACATGCTACACCTACCCAGATTGCTACAGCCACCAAAGATCTGAAGCTGAAAAAGATTCCCGAACTCCTGCATTTACATCTGCATTCCAGGAGCAAGAAAAAAGAAGACGCAGATGTGTGTTGACCAGGGCTTGCATTAGTAAGGAACTCAGAGAAAGAGCTGTGCCTCCAACATACAGCATTGCTGTATTTTCCCTTGTTATTTTAAGTTAAATCTGTGATGAAATAACTAAAAAAATGCCTCTTCTTGCCGCTTTTAATTCGTTATTCCTTGTAACTACCAATTGTTCAAGGCTCACAAACAGAGCATTGAAACACTGCCTGTTCATGAATGAAGTTCTGTCCAGCCTGCAAACAGGGACGTCATTTCAAGAAAATGCGCAGAAGTGCAGGGGAAGATGAGGGACTGCAAATGAAAACAGAGCTTAAAACAGGACAGCTTTGTTTACTTGCCCAAAATAGAGAAGGTAGCCGAACTGGGTTTTAAATTCAAACTGGAAGGAACTTTACCAGAAAAAGATAAAACCTTTCTTCTGCTAAAAATCGTCACGTCAGCCTCAGATACTTGTGAAAGATGTTTTTCTAAAGGCTTTTGCTTATTAATCGTTCTCCTGACTCGCAACAGCACAACGCTTCCAAAGGTAACCTCTCTTCTGCTACGATAACTTTCACCAATGATGTGCTTTTTCCTTAGAGGAAGGCGGAGTTAGGAGTTAGTGTCAGGGCCATAAATAAGAGGGTCCTATGTCAGGGAAATGAGAAGTCAGCTAACACAAGCGTATGCTCAGAGTGAGCATTAGAGGGCTTTCCGAATCCGTCCGAGCCTGTTGAAACGGAGTTGCACGCGGAAGAAAGCAGATAGCTGTTAGGAAGTTGAGCTGCAAAACCAACAGTAAGGAAGCGTTTTCTCTTGGCTGCCCGCTTAGCTGTGCTTCAGGCAACATGAATCCGAGTACCGTGTGGTTCCCAGTGCTTCTGCTGCTGACCCAGAGGATTCAGGAGCTGGTGGAGGCGTGCAGCTGTGCCCCTGCCCACCCGCAGCAGCTCATCTGCGACGCGGCACTAGGTGAGTCGGGACCGCTGCCAGCTTCTCTCGCGGACGGGGCGGCCGAGCGCTGCCACGGCCGAGCATGGCTTTAGCCAGGTGGCTTCGGCTCTCCAGGGACTTTACACCCAAACGGCTGCAGAGATCTCTTTTAAAGAGAGGGCTGTGGGGGAAAAAATGCTAACAGCTGTTCTGCTTTTCTTGGTTTTTTCCAGAATATTTTGTGGTCACAAATTGCTGAAATTGCTGTATTTAGTGCCTTTCTTTTAATAGGAACAGCTTCTATATTAGGTCCTAACTTAAAGTAAGCAGAGAAGTATACCTGAACTTTAAAAAGAACTACTGTTAGCAGTAATAGAATATTCGATCTACATCTGTCTGCTCTGTGTATATAGATATTTTTATAGCATTTTGGGGAAAAGAAAAAATAAGCCAAAATAAAAGTCCCCGCTGCTGACATGTTGAAACACTTGATCTTTGTTCTGCTACAGCACAATTTCTTTAATTGGTTGTTGGGTTTTTCTGTCATTTTCCAAAAATACTTGAGCAGGACACTGACAGGCCCTTTATTTTCTGCAGATAAACTGGCTACAGCAGTTCTGTATAAATATAACTCGCCAGGCTTTAGGACAATTGTGTTTCAGGATATTCAGTCAGCACTGTGGTTGTCCAACAACTTATAGAAAGAAACTAAAGATCTCAAAATTAAACGGCAGGGGGATAAGAAAATGTGACATTTTGCAGCCTTTTGATTTCATTAGCTCCAGCTAGGGCTGGTTAGCTTCCATCTAGTGTGAACAGTAAATGTAGAACATGAGTTTCCAAAGTGTCACAAAATTAGCATCTCTATGGGGCAGGCAATACCTTCTGCATACTGATTAATTGCTTTTATACCCTGACAGAAAATCTTTGTAGCCATGACAAACTCTAAGCTCTGTTTGTGGCCATCAGTTAAATCGGTTTTTAATCTGGCTGTGTTAAGCAATCTTTTTCATGAAGTTACCTACACCAGGCTTTACAAACCTGGGGTTGTTTGAGGTGTGAAAGAAAATAGAAGTTGTGCTGCCAAGAGCTTAACTACAGATGTATACATGTAACTGTATTACTCTGCTGCGTTCCTGGACATAAGAAAGTGACAGTTTTTCAACAGACTTAACGTAGAGATTTTTCTACATAAACAATTTCACAGTACAGAGGAAACTCAAAATACTCATCATGAGCCATCTTTCTTAGGGTAGCCATTCTGGCCACACTTATTAAGATTTATTCCATTCCTAGATAAATTTTACGAATGGTAGATATATGCTACTTTGCATTTATGTTTAAATACTGACGATTGTAAAATAAAACTACTTTATATTTGGACTTGTTGCTAAAGCTCTCACTTGCATAAATATTCCTGTTTAAGTAAACTCCACCTTCTGGCGAAGGAATGTTTGTATCAAGGATTCCTTTGTTTGATATTTATAATTTTAAAATAGCATATATGTTATAAAATGACAGAGATATAGATATTCATTCATATAAATATGTGTACACATATTTTTATACTTGCATTTGCATACATGTACACATAAAATGCGGTCTAAGCACTTATGGATCAATTATTTGATTTACTTTGGCCACAGTATCTTGCAAAAGCAGAGCACAGCTACTGTAAAAGGGCTGGAGAAGACCTGTCTGCCCTGTGCATGGGAAAGCTCTGCTAAGCAGCCTGGCCAAGGCAGCTCCTCCATCCCGCTGCCGGAAGCCCTCATCACCTCACACCGTGTCCAGGGGAGAGGGCTGTGGGTTGGGGCGGCCCCGGGCAGGGGCAGCAGGAGGCTGGAGCCCTGGCACAGCCCCATCCTCCACTCCTTAGGGCCACCTGCTCCGCAGGGGCATGGCGAAACCCGGATTCCCGAGCGCGAGCATGCCTCCAGCTCCTCCTGATAGTGCCCCCACCCTTACTGATTTATTTTTTTTTAAGATGTCAGAGGTTAAAGGTTAAATTGAATCTCTCTACTTCAATTTCAACATTTTCATACTTCCAAAATATTGATAAACAAAGAAAGGGACAGCTCTTCTGCTACCAAAATCTGTGGGAGTTGAATGCGTATCCAGCCATTTCTTGAGACTATCCAACTTCTTTCAGTTATTTTTAAGTTCTTCCATCTCTGTAGACACAAACACATTCAAGTATCTCCTTGCAGAATAAAACCCTAGCACAACTTATTAAAAGAAAGAAACCAAGCCATGCCTCCAAATTCCACGGGAAATACCGACACAAACTCACTCTTGCTCACAGAGCGACCGACCATTATATCTAGTCCACGTCCTGCACCACTCCTCAGTTTGACTGTGTAGACATTTTGAATTTCCTTTAGGATCACTTCTGATTTGGGCGGAGTGAAAATGGAGGTGGCGGGGGTTGAGTCAGCAGAGATTACTTGAGCCACTGACAATGTGTGAAGCCACTCAGAAACCTTAGCATTTATGTGAGATACCCAGGAAAAAAAACCCAGAGGAATTAATTTCGTCTGGGACAAGTTCTTTTCACTTTTACTTTTGTTCACATTAGTGCTGTGATGCTTTTACTGTCAGGAGGCCTTTGTGGCTTCACTCTCTTTCTAAACACCCACAGCTACCACACAACCTGAGTAACCTGGTAGATGACAAACTCAGAGGAAGAGCGAGCTGCTGGGCCTGCAAGGTGCAGGCTAAAACAAAAACGAGGGCTGGGTGAGGAGCCCTGCGGGTGCTACATGGCTGGAAGAACATCAGTGATGGGTAGAAAATCATGAGTGCAAGGCCAGCCTATCTGGCCTTGGGCTTGTTAGCCCTAAGAGGGTGTGATTTTGTACAAATTGAGTTTATCAGCTACTGTCAAGATAACAGATTTGCCTTCTGCCACTGGCTTCAGTCTTCCCGGACTCAACTCTAAACCAATGTTCATATCACATCAGACAATCTGTAGAGTGAAATGGTATATGTGAGAGGACCGATTCCGCTCTAAAGTCTGTCACTTTTAATTCATGCTGGTTTTCTCCCTTACGCATAACCAAGATTATTTTTGAACAGTAGGACAAATATGTAAACACGCTGCATTTCTTCACTATGAAACACCAGTACCCGACCTTTCAAGTTAAATGTGTTCTTCCTGATTTAAACTGTCTTCTTCTTGTCTTCTCTTAAACATATATTGAAAATGATCATTTTAATGAATATTGGCCACCAGACTCGAAGAGAAATTACTTAGAGATCTTGACTACAAATAAATATATAATATAGCTTCAGAGAATATATATAGCTTTGGAAAAGAGTGGCACATTTCAAAATATGATGGAAGCTTTACAGCTGGAGCTTGGCAGCATTTTCAGCCAGTTAAAATCTCATAAGATCACTGAGATCAGGCACTGTAAAGATGTGCCAGATGACATATTAAATTTTAATCACATTTAAAAATAACAGTAACAATTTTATGTAAATACACCAGAATTAAGTTTTCAGAGCCAGCTCCTCCGAGATAAAATTACAATATGCTATTTCTTTGTTATTCAGTTTCATATTAAAACTTTCATGGCTCAGCATCCCACGATTTTGCCTCTCTGCAATATAATAGCTAGTTTTGTTACTGGAATAGATTAATTTGTACATTATTAGAGTGGGAAGTAACTTTGCCTGATGGGAAAAACCAACAATGGAAAATGTATTAGAAACATAGACAGTACTTCCTCCAAGTTAGGGGAGAAAAAGTGAACAGTGAAATGAACGTAGACTCGATATTTTATTTTTACCATATTACGTTATACGCACTCATCATATTCTTAATCTCACCGAGCCTTAGAGCCCTGAGCAGTGTTATTATGCAGATACCGATTAATGTTTGGGTTGACGAGCACCTTCAGCGGGGGTTTTGACACAAAGTTAGGCAGCTATGTAATCAGTTTTAATGTGTTTGGGAGTGCAGTGTTCATGCAAACAGAAATAACCACACCGTGTAATGGAAGACCATTAAGGACAGGGATGCAACGAACTTTTGTCTTCTGCGAGGGTTTCAAGCGAGTCCCACCGAAAGTCCCGCCTCTCGAAGCCACCGTGCGAGGGAAGGGGCAGGTCAGCCTCACTGAGGAGGTGTTGGCAGATGCCGGCAGGACCCTGGGTCACAGGCCACGCTTTCAGACACCCCACTGACAGACGTGGGGCCACACAGCTTACATTTTGGAGCTGCCTACAGCCTTTCTGACTTCTCCATAGAACAGAAAGATTATAGTGCTCGGCATATGATCGGCATTTTATTCTTGTCCTGCCAAACAGCGGCAGATCTTACTGCTTCACGGCAGCGTCTCTCCTGCGGAGTAGCCAGCGGTGACACTCATGCGTAGGTATAGTTCCAGAGTGACTTGTCACTGGAAAGGGTTAGGCAGCTGCCATTCTCCAGCGTCCCACGCAGAAATGAATACTTAGTCTCTACTCCAAGAATTGTAAATTCGTTTACAGAAATAATGCACTGGGCTTCTGCTGTTTGAGTTCCCTCTCAAACAACAGGCAAAGCACAGCACCTGAGCATGTTTCTTGCAAGAGTTATTATGGAAAAGCTGTGGTGGGGCTATCTGTGTGAGTGCCACTGAAAGAGCGTGCTGCCAGAACAACGTTTGCAGAACCCTACTTACATTAACCCACGAATCCTCCTAAAAGCAGCTAGAAATGAGGCTAATCTCAAAAGTACTCTTATTCATCTTTGGTAGGTCTAATGCAGAGGTGCTGAAAGTGAGGTCATTCGCTTACCCTCACGTCCTCAGCAAGTGGCTGCGAACCGCTGAATTCCGGTCCTACGCTCAGCGTTCAGCAAACAACGTTGGCATGTAGGAATCAACAAGTCACATCCTTCCCTATGTCCATTTTTTGTTACGTGACTAGTATTAAGTTCATTAAGAGAAAAATATGGAGAAATAGACATTTTACCCCTAACTCAACAGACTCATAAACGATATAAATACCAAAACTACCTTTCCCCTATTTCAGTGGTACAGTGTCCTACC